AGGGGGCACCCCGGCCCCTCTCCTCCCTGGATCGGCCCTGAGCGTGTCTGTTCTCATTTCCCATCGCTACTTTCTTGAGTGTTTGTTTTTGGAACAGGAAAAGGCGGAGCACAGAGAAACATTCCTCCTTTACGCTTTCTGTATTCTCTCGTGCGCTCTTCCTGTCCTGTGCCTCCTTCCTTTCTCTTTTCCTCCCTCCATCCCGTTTTTCCTTCCCTGTTCCCTTTTCCCTCACTTTCTGCCTTCTTCACTTTCTTTTTCCTGAGGTCAGACTTCACAATCCTCTTTCCTGGAATGAGTTAAAGTCCTATTTGAGATTCCCTTCTGGGGGAGACCAGGTCCCACCCAAGGGTTTAGCAACCTGGCTCAACAAGAGATTTTGGGGGCCTGCGCTTCCACACTTGGCCACGAGGGGGTGCGTGCGCAATATCTGTGGTTTCAGTAGCTGCTAGCACCAGGAGGGCTCCCTCCCTTCCAGGTGAAGGCAGCTAGAGGGCCTGGAGTTCCCATCCCAGGCCTGGCGAGAGGAGGGAACAGACCTGGAGGGAGCATGGGTACAGAGGCCCGCCAGGCGTCTCCGGTTGTGTGAGTGCCTGGGCTGAGAGGTCTGCTCTCATCCACGCTCAGACATGGGCGGAGAGACAGTGTGTGTGCTTGTGTGTGCCATTGCCCGGCTGTTACCTCCGGGTTACTTGAATGTCCCCTCTCAAAACCAGTGACTTCTGAGCTAGCTGAGCTCTGTGGTCCCTGCCGGCTGTGGGTCGCTGCAGGCAGGGGGCCTGGGGAGGTGGGCGCCGTAAAACAGAACAGAGCAGCTAATACACCCGTGGGTCCTCGGCGAGGTCCCAGCTTTGGGGACTTGCTGCGTGTCCTCCTCCCTGTGTTAAGTCTTTTCCATCACACTCGAAGCTTGACAGCACATGTCCTGCACTGACAGACATGGGGGCGGGGCCGGGATCGGCGTGAACACCCTTGGGGCCCGCCTCCCTGACACGGGATGACTGATTCCCAGGTGAGGCAGGCCCACCTTTGGGTGCTTGTCTTCCACGGCAAACGCATTTGTCTCTGGGAGCCGGGAAGCAGCGCTGTTCGCTGACTGCCTTTCGGGAGAAGCGGACTTGAATGCGGGCTGCCCAGTGCTTGTTGGGAGCCGCCCGCCTGACCAGCACGGGGGCTGTGGGGGTGAGCGGGCTCCGAGGCCATCGTGGGGACAGAGGGGTCCACGGATGCCCAGAACCCGATGGGTTAATGTGGAAAAAAATGCACAAACAGTGGGAGAGGCGGCGGCGCGGTAGACACTTTAAATGCAGCCCCTTAGTGCCCAGGATGGGCTCAGCGCTTCAGCTGAACCTGGGCCCCGGGAGGGAGCAAGAGTTGTCCGCTCCCCATTCTCAGAGACCTCGGGGAGCTGCCGGAGATCACACAGCCAGTCTGCAGGACGGCAGGGCCAATAGGGAGCTCCCTGGCCTCCAAGCACTTGCATTTGGACTTCGCCCCCTGGGGCACTGCAGTCTGGGGTCACTGGGACGGGCTCACCTTTCTTTTGTGGGGGATGGGACTCACTTTCTAAACAAAAGGAAGAGGAAGGTGGTGGTGGAAGCAGCAACCTGGTACAAATGTGACCACTGCCTCAGGGCCCCCTGCCCCACTCGTGTGTGTCCCCGGATGGATGACACTGGGTCTGACACACTGCGGTCAGTGTTCCCAAGTCCTGCTGCGCCCAAGGGTGGTGGTTCTGACAGTGTCGTGGCTGCACTCCGCTGGGCCCGGAGGGACTGGCTGCGGGGATGCTGCGGCCCCCGAGAGGGCCGGTGGCCTGGGCGGGGCTGGCTTGGGGAGCACTCTCTGTCCCAGGGCTGAGCGTTGAACCCCTGGGCTGTGGGCCTGAGCAGCAAAGGCAGCCCGCTTCTTCCTGCAGCTTGGGGCCTCCAGGGCAGGCGCCAACCACGCAGAGGGAGTCGGCGACCACAGTGACCCTGGGTTGAGGTGGCTTCAAGTCTGCTTTGTTGCCCTAGGACGCCCTGCCCCTGGTTGGTCTGTGCTCGGGGGGTACTGGTAGGGCCCAGAGAGCACTGGAAGTCAGGAGCCTGGAGTGGGCCGCCTACTTGCGGCTGCTCGCAGGAACACGCCAGCCTTTCCCCAACCCGATTTTCTCATTTTCCAAGGGCCCCGGGGGGTTAGGGACCTCAGGGTGGCCGCCTGGTGATGCCAGCCAGCCGAGTCTGCAGTGAGGCTGTGCAGGAGCCCCCCTGCCCAGGGGCCCTGGGTCAGCCAGGTGGGTGGGTGGGGACGATTTCCTGAGCGTCTCACAGAGAAGTCCACCTCCGTCCTCCCAGAGGGCCCCACACAGGCACTCTCGGTGCCCAGCACCTGCCCTCCTGGAATGCTCTGAGAGAAGGAGGGTCAAAGCGGAAGATTCAGTGCCCTTGATGTTGGCGTCCTGGTGGAGAGCCCTCCCCCGCAGCTGCTGGCAGGGCGTCTCTGCCAACTGCTCAGATGTGGGAGGAGGGAGGGAGCCAGGCAGGAGTGTCACAGACTGCTACCTGGGGGCGGGGGCAGGGCGGGGGAGGAGGGACCAGGGGCCGTGGGTCCCTAGGCGTGGGCCCCCCCGAGCTGACAGCTGTGGGACTGCGGCAGAGCATCAGACTGCTCCGAGCCTCGGTCTCCTCTTTGGTAAGTGGTGACAAATAGTGTCTTCCCCGCAGGGTATGGAGGGGACTTGAACACCGAATGCAGAGCAGCTGGCATTGGGCCTGGTACTTAGTAAATACTTAATAAAAAACAGCGATTTCTCAAGGTTCAGGCTGCCTCTGGGACAGAAGGTCCGAGTGGAAAGGAGAGTAAAAGACCAGGTGGTGAGGGGGCAGCTGGCCCTCCGGTCCCTGTGCTCCCCTCCCGGGGCTCGTCCTTGTCCCAGACATTGTCCTTCTCCCTTCTTCCCTTTGCAAGTGGCTGTCGGGACTCCAGCCTTAGAATGCAAGTCCCATGATCGAGGAATGTAAGCCAGAGGCACGTGCATGCCATTCTGAGATTACAGGAGGAAACGCTTCCCCAGGGGTCCTTGCGACTGTCCTGCAGGACTGCTGGCATGCCCAGGGTTTGCCGGTGTGTCTTGGAAGCTGAGACAGGTTAGTTAGCTGTGGTCACATGCGGGCCAGGGAGGAGCTGGGACTCTAGCCCTCCATGTGGCTGTCCTGCAGCCCCACTGGTCTGCGCCCCGGGTCAAGAACAGAGCTGTCTTGTTCTCGGCCCTTCACTCAGTCTGCTGGGCAGTGCAGACTGCCCAGGAGTGAGGGTGCCTCGGGGTGGGAGCTACAGCTGAGGGCAAGGAGAGGGTTCTGGGGACCTGGGGAAGAAAAACAACAAAGACCATGAAGCATGTCCTCCGTGCTGGAGGCTGACTGGGGGGGTCTCATTGTGAGTTGACATGTTTGGTCTCCACGGCTCTCTGATGAGACAGGTTCTGTGATCATCTCCCCTCTGCAGCTGAGGGAGGGGAGGTGCGGGAGGCCACGCCCCCGAGACACACAGCTGGTGGAGCCCTGGAGCCATCCCTCCCCATCCAGGCCGCCCGGTCCTGGGGGCCACACGTTCAACTTGCCCGTTGAACTGCCTCCTGCCAGTTTAGACTAAAGGGAGCCATGGAGAAAGCTCTTACTAAGGGGACTCTGCAATGACACCTTCGGGTGGGAGCCAGGCAGCCTAGGGGTGGCGCGGGGGATGGGGTGTTTAAGAGTGGGGACAGTTGGGCAATGGGGGCCGGGACTCAGAACAGCTTAGACCTCCTTGATGTGCACTCTCAGCCTCTGTAGTCTCTATTCGCATGCTGAGCACAGGGCGTGGTTGCCTGGGGGACTGGGAGGAAGATTCAGCCCAAGCAGCTACCCCCCAGAACAAAACAGAGCCCAGCGCACGAGATGTCTACGGTCTGATGAAAACGGAATCACAGCCCTCTGTGAGGGTTGACCAGCCCTGAGGGAAACATGGAACAGTGACAAGCTTTGCAGGGGGGAGGCGAGGCGCGGCGGTCTCGGAAGGCACGCAGAGAAGGTGGTATGGAGGCCGGGACAAGAGTTGGTCCTCGGGTTTGGCAGGGTGAGGCAGGACAGGCTGAAGTCCTTGGCGCTCTGGACTCCTTGTTACTCCACAAGCCTGAGAAATAAGAAAACGGCCCGAAGGAGGATTTGCTGGGGAGGGGGCGGAGCGGGACAAAGGTCATCAGCACTGCTGTGCATCCAGGGGACTCTACCCGCCCAGGGTACATGGCTCCCTCCTCCACATCCAGGCACCCGCTGGCTTATGGACAAAGAGAATGACAACCCGGTCGGAGGCAACTGGGGATGACAAAGACGCCCTGAAGGGCACAGGCTTTTATGTAATCGACTTCCTCGGCACCTAGGGTCTGGGGGCTGGCGCTCAGAGGGCGGGGCCGAGGAAGGACGGCGCGCCCACGTTATTTCTGCAAATAGGGGACAGCAAAGCAAAATAAGGTAGACGAGTCCTGGGAGCCTTAAGGAGTAGGGAGACTTGCCCGGTGGCCTTCCCCCAGTGCGCGCTGGGGAGACCCCAAACCCTGTTCCCTGTCCTCACTCCCAGCCCGCCCCTCACGGGGGAGTCCGGGTGAACGCGCTCCCTTCGGGATTGCTCGCTGGGTGACCTTGGACTGGCCGCTTGCCCTCTCTGGGCCTCCGCTGACCGGTGTCTGAGTGTGGCAGTGCTGTAATAGCAGCGCGGGGCGCCCCCAGGGCTGGAGGAGAGCGCCGGGGCAGGAGGAAGGCGCCCAAGACGCCCCCTTCCTGCCGATCGGCAGCGCAGCCGAACCGGCCCCACCCGGCGGCGGCGGCAGCGAAGCGGTGGGGCGCGGAGCCCGGGGCGCGGGGCGGGGGCGCAGCGCGCAGGCGCGGCGTGCGGAGCCGGCGGGGCGGGGCGGGGCCGGCGGGGGGCGGGACGGGGCGCTCCGCGCGGCGGCTCAGAGAGCGCGGGCGGCGCGCGGCGTGCGGGTCGCGGCTGAGTGGGGCGCTGGCGGTGGCGGCTGGCGGGGCTCGCCCAAGACTGCCTGGAGCTCGCAGGGCGCGCCGCCCGCCCCAGGGCCCGCTGATCTCGCCGGCCCGCGCCCGCTCCACCTGTGCCTGGTGCGGGAGCGCGGAGCCGCGTGCAGGAGGAGCGGCCGTCAGCGCGGGGCACTAGGCGGGCGGACACCCCCGGGGACTGGGGGCTGCGCGACCGGTACCCGCCCCGAGCCGCCGCCGCCTGGCTGACTCCCCGGCTTGGCTCGGCCGCGGCGTCCGGCCCGGGTTCCGCGGCGCGGTCGGGGTTTGCGGGGCCGTTGCTGCCCGCCCGCCTCGAGTCTGCGTCCCGGGCCCGGGCGGCCGGCGAGCATGGAGGAGAAGTACCTGCCTGAGCTCATGGCGGAGAAGGACTCCCTGGACCCCTCCTTCACCCACGCTCTGCGGCTGGTGAACCAAGGTGAGGGCGCGCGCCGCCGGCCCTTTGATGTCGACCGCGGCCCTTGGGGGCAGAGGAGTGGCGTCCCGGGGGGACTTGGGGACAAGGGAGGGTCGGGACCGAGTAGGGGGGCTGGAGGGGTTGGCTGGAAACGGACCTCTCAATGACTGGGGGTGCCCAGGTAGCAGTCTGGGGGCATTTGGGTGGGGATCTGGGAGAATAGGGGACACCTGAGGAAAGCCCGGGATGTGAATTTGGGAGACTTAGGAAGGAAGGAAGGAAAAGGCTGGGCGTTCGGGTGAGACTTGAAGGCAGTTCTTGGGGACTCGGAGGATACCCAAGGGAAACTTCTGGGCGGGGGACAGAGGACATCTGGGGGCTTTGCTGGGGCGGTGGTTGCATTATGTCTTTGGAAGACGAGAGGGAAGGGGCTCGGGGAACTCTCGCTGTTTGGCTTGGGCGAGGACCTGGGGAACCAGCTGGAGGGAAATGGAAGGGTTTGAGGGGACCAGATGCAGAAGAGGTGGAGGGAACAGGTGCTCCGATTGTTGGCGAAGTTTGACGACCGGGGAGGAGGTTTGGGGGCAGACCCCGAGCATTTCAGAGAAGGACCCACTGGTCCGAGCGGCAGAGCCCCGTTTCCTCTCCCATCCTTTCGTTCCTCCCGGGTCTAGGCTGTGGCAGCCCTGGGGTGGGGGGTGCGGGTCGTCTGCCCTCCCTGGGGGTGAGCGAGTCATGACAAGCCCAGCTTGAGGCTGGCTCCGGGAGGGGGCAGGAGGGGGGAAGAGGCCGGCACAAGAGCCCCTCTCTCCGCTCTCCTGTCCTCATTTTGGGAAGAGCTGGGTAGGGGACCCTCCTTGGTGGCTGGCTCGAAACACTGGCCAAGGAGTCTTAGCTGCCGGTGCCATCTTAGCACCGCTCTAGCTCACTCAGGGTGCCAGCAGCCCCGGGAAGTACAGGACCCAGGTGCAGGGGCTGCACAGAGGCGAGCCCACCCAGGACAGCAGTCCCTGGCTCATTCCGCCAGCAGCCGGAGGTCTCTTCTGGGATGGAAGGTGAATGAAGTCTTCCTTCCCGGGAGCAGTTCTGCGCTCCTCGTGTGTCTGGAGTAGGCGTTTCAGATGAGAGGGGTTTGGCGGGGGGGTGGGTGGGTGGGGGGCACTGCTCTGCTTTTCCTCCCGGGGAGGGCGGGCGCCTGGTCCGGTCCGATCTGTCACCCTTAGCGTGGCTCACTCTGCAGTGACAGTCTGTAGTTCGGGAGGTGAACCTGGTTGGCCGGTCCCAGCGCTGGCTCTGGCTCTTTCCATGTGGGCAGTGAAAGATGAGCGGACGTGTCCAGTTCGTTCGTAGGCATCTGCGTTTTGAAACAGTGACCTCCGGCGTTTGCCTCCTGCAGCCGGCTCTTCCGCGGGGAGTGCGTGCTGACTGCCGGTGGCGGTGGGGAGAGACCGCCTGTCTCCGAGAACACAAGCACATTTGAACTGGGGAGCAGGAGTCGGTTTACAGAGCCCTCCCTTGTCACTGTGCTCGTGGGCTTATTTCGAATTCTTTAATCAGGTGGGCTTGTGAGAAAGCAGTGGGCATGCCTTCCTAAACGAGGGGCAAGAGTCTGAGTTCGAAGCCCGTGCCCTGCGCAGCAGCTCCCCAGTGCGGTCAGCACGCCTGGCTCTTTGTGGTCTCCGTGCCGTTTGTTGCCTGCCGGGCTGTCATTTCTGTGAAAGAAATTTCTTTGCACGGCGTGGGAGGTCAGTGGCGTCAGAAGTGTTCCGGACCGTGGGATCAAGTGAGGTTTTCCGGCTACAGAGGCTGGAGCGAAGGGACGTCGTACTCAGTTAAGGAGGCAGTTTCACTGAGAGTTTAATGAGTTATTTTAGAAGTCAGGATTATTTTTCTGTGCCCTGCTGCCATAGGACTTTGCCATAGGACTGCCGATACCTTCAAAGTTCTTTGGGTTTCTTTGTTTTTACTGGGGCTCACGGCTTCCGGTTCCTTGAAACAGGCACCGGACAATGTTGACATTTAGTGAGGTTTTTAAAGGCACGTTAAACCTGATCGCCTTAATTTTCCATTAAAAATGTAATTCTTGTCAGAAGTACAGTCTCACACTGAACAGTTACGTGAAGGAAGCAAAGAGCTACTCATATGCTCTTATTACCGTTAATTTAGATTACTTCAGACTAAAAGGTTTTTCCCTTAAATCATAGGCTGATATCCAGAATGCAAAACCCTGTCATTTAAAATATTAATTATGCTGTTATGTGACTGCAGAATTACAAGTGCATTTCTAAAGATGTCTTAAGTCTGAATTGGAATGGTTATTAGCAAGCTTTGATTTCGAATCTGATCATCATCTTGTTATTGGCTACAGGGGAGCATTTGTATTCTTTTGTAGCTGTATTTTTGACTGGTTTCCTCTAAAGGGAACTGTTTTTTTCAGAGGTCATTCTGGATCTCGGTCCTGGAATCGGTATTCCGGCACTGGCGTGTACCGTGATGAGGGGTCGGTCGGCAATGCAAATCTTTTACCTGGGTGCCGAGTGGCATCCGTAGACATATTTCACGGCCAGCGTCTCCGAAGGCTAATGCCCCCTCAGGTTTGCGCCTCAAGTTTCCGGGGCGGTGTGAGGCCCCTGCTGTCTGGTTCAGTTCCCACACCTGCCCCCCCCGGGGGCGGGGGCGGGGGTGGGGGTGGGGGCTGACATCGATATCTCCGTTTTCCAGGGGAGGGAGCGGAGGGCTCCGCTCCAGGCGCTTGCAGGCAGCTGAGGTGGCTCTACGCGGAGCCCAGACCTTCTCTCTCTACGGTCATCGTTTTGCCACCTCTGTCTCCCCCGAAAGACGGAACCGAGTCCTTGCACCTGCTCATTTAAACTCCCGCAGACGCTGATATAATGAACACGCTTGCTTCCATTTGACCTCTGTGGATTTTCCAAAAAGTCCTCCTTTCTGTACTCGGTCGGGTGGCTCTTCTCGGAAGGAGCAGGCAGGCGCTCGCGGCAGACTGGTCCTGCAGGTCCCGGGGCCTGGCCGAGAGGCACCGTGGAATCCAGCCCTGCCGTGGCCAGCAGTCAGCACTGTGGGACAACGGAACAGTTTCTAAATGAGGTGTTGTCACTTTTGAAAAATTAAGGCTGTGTTGACATCGATCAACTTTTCTAGCGGAATTACTTCTTTCTTAACAATCTTTAAGTAAACACTTGAGCAGCTGGGAGGACTCGGAGATACAGGCCCCTGAGAACAAGAGGTCGGCTTCTACACTTTTTCCAGCTTTCTGTTTTCTGATAGGCCTTGGGGACGGACTTTTATTTTTATTTTCTCAGGATAACTGGCTCTCCATCCCTCTACCCTCCCCCCCCAAATAGTGAATACTTTTTTTTTTAAACCAGAAGTAATGGGTAATGCTTACTCGATGTGAAATCAAATCAAAGAAAATAGGCTTCGCTCTTCTCTCTGCGCCCCTCCCCCCACCCCTCCCCCCACACACAGGTGCCCCTGCGTTGAATCGACATTGCAGCTTCTTGCCAAGGAGGTTAATTGGAGATGAAAGCCCTACTCCGTATTTTATATTATATTTGCTGGTAGGGGATGTGCTGACTCCAACTAAAAACCTTCTTCAGAAACGTCTTACGCATTACAATTTAATCCAGCTCTTGGTCTGGCTTTGGACGGTTTTCAATACAAGCCAAGTAACCATTAAATAAGATTACATAACCCTGTATTTTTAATTACCGGGTATCATGTATGGATTGGTGGCTGGGCCATGGCCAAGTTCGCTTTAGTGGGCCGTGACAAGGGGACGTGCACAAAGGAGCCGGGATGGGGCGGCCTCCCTGTGTCCAGATCGACAGAGTTCTCTTTGTCAGTGTTTTACAGTAAACGTTCCGATGGCATCGATTTCTCTAATATTAGGACTCGGCGTCACTCAGGATACATGTGAGGGGCAGCCTTGCATAAGGGGGGGGGCATCCCTCTCCCCCGCGTGCATCTCTGTGTCACAAAGCCCCGGGGCTCAAGTTTAATTTTCGCGAACCCCTTTCTTTAGGAGACACGTGTGATTTGCCCGACTGCCGGGACGTGTGTGGAGCCGGGCTGAGGATGGAAGCGGCAGAGTGCCGTTCCTGCAGGTGGGGCGCCGTCAGCCCGCGGAGGAGGACGTGGTTCTTCCGTGTTGGGAAGGCTCCCCATGTGTAGAGAAGCCATTTCTGAATGTTCCTTAGGGTGTCCCAGTTCGCAGTGACCCGGGGGTGGTGAGTGGCCGTGCCTCAGTGCCTGGACTTCCATACCCAGTGTCGTGGGACCCCGCCCCGCTGGGTCGCGGAGGCGGCGGGGGGAGAGATGCTGTGCGGCTCTGCAGACACTCGTGCGCCCACCCGGGGGCGTTAGCTCCAGAGCAGGTTTTACGTTCGTTCGTAGGCGCCCTAGACTGTCCCGAGGAATGTCTTACTAGTCACTCAGCTATCTTCTTGTGTTACATGTAGCGACTGGAGGGCTTGGATCTCACCGAGTCTGCCGAGGGACATTTCCGAGCCAGGTCTCGGAGTGTGTGCGTTCCTACGGTAACTGCCCGGATGTGTCGAGGTTATTCACCCGGTTTTTCCAGGTGTGGACGCGGAGATGCCAAAAGCGAAAGTGACTTCCCTGAGGTGCCGTTCTTAGAAGAGGATGCACGAGGCATCCGCGGTCTGGGTGAAGGGTCCAGCCTTGTCCTCCAGCACGTTGCTCTTTCCTTGCACCACGCTGACCTTGGAGGCTCAAGGGCACACTGCGTGGGGCAGTTAGTTCACGACAGACGGAGAGGAAAACCCGGGCCTCTCACGAGCTGCGTGCTTTTTGCTCTGTTGCCTGTGCCGGAATGGAAAGATAAGTCATATAGCACCGTTTTCATACTCGGCTGTGCAAATCCCACCCTCAAGTCCTCGGATGGGTTGCATTGCTCATTTTCTGGTCCCCCTAGTGGTCCTACTCCTCACTGTGCTCCTGGGGTCTCTGGACTTCCCCTGGAGGGCATGGGCTCCTCCTGG